AAAAAAAAAGAAGACAGACAGCTTATAAGATGAAAAACAAACATTTTTTTCAATTGATATAGTTTTTGTCACAACCAGGACATACAGTACAACAGTGTTGGTGTTTATAAAATGATCTGGTTGTGCCACTTTTAAAATGAACTACTTTATTTACATTTTCGTCAACCAGTCACAGTTGTCTTGGTGTGTTAATTCTAAAATATTGCTACATTGTACCATATGAAATGACAGTAGGTAGCACCAGTTTTGAGTTAAATGGATGAGTAAATCTACAAAAGTGCCTGCAAAATAGTGTAAAAAAGACAATTGCAATACCATACATTTTGTCTTATTACTCTATAACAATCTTCCCCAATATGCATCATTACCAATTTGTAATAGTAGTTTGAGAATAAAGGGAATTTAAAAAGAGTAGAACTTAGGTAGTAGGGGTGGATATTTTTTTAGTAAACATTTTCATAGTTTCATCGTCTATTTATTTTTAGTACTGCATGTTAATTTGTAACAATAAAACGAAATTAGCACTGAAGCAGATGATACTTGAGGCAAGTCTTATTGTGTAATTGCCTTGCCACTTCCTTGTGTATGTAGTTTTAATGAAGGAAGATGGTCAACATGTACAACTCAAGACCTGAATTTAAATCCCCATATTGGTAGTTAAACTCATCTGTTTTACTCAGCCTACTAAAATGTCATGTAGCAGGACTCATGAACAGAATTAAAATGAAGATGTTCCACAATTCACAATGAATCGTATCAAATTTATTTCTGTTTAAACAAAATATATGGATATTTACCTAAATCAGTTGAGCATTGTACTTACTAAATTGGATTAGTTTCTATTCAGTAAAATCTGTGGTTTTAAGTTTTTAAAGTTTTGAAATTGTCTAAATAATATTTCATATTAACAGTAGAGTTTTTTTTATAGAATGTAACACTTTTAAGTGATATTAATATTATTGTGTCAGCATTCAAAACTACAAATGTAATCTAAAACTGTATTCATCGTAACAAGAAACAGCTATAAAACTAAAAAAACTATATATTTTTTCTTTTTTAAGGGGAGATGTATCAACTAAGTTGCTGACTTTGCAGTATGTCTTAAAAAAATGGAGAACAAAATCTGCTTACCTGCTGCACACAATGGAAATGGCAATGAGGGAAACAATGAAGACCACTCCAGCAGCTGCTGACCCCGCAATCAGAGGAAGCTGCTCCCTCAACTCAGATTTGAAGTCTTCTGGGTTACACAAAGAAAAGGACAAACGGGTACTGATAAGGACTAAGAAGAATGACAGTGGTTCTTTTTTTAAAAATTTATTTTAATTGTGTGTGCAAATTGTATGAGGAGGCTTTTGACATAGAGTGAGAATTTGGAATGCAAAATGACAAAAAGAGAAGTTGGACTAACTGTAGTAAAGGATTAGAAAAAAAATCTGCACAGAGATGCTGATTAAAACCTTGTGAGCACTTGCAAAACCAACTGACATGTGTTTGATTAACGGTGAAGGACAGAAACTGAGAAAGACACACACACAAAACTGACAGCGAGAAAGGCTGAAACAGACCTCACAGCCCTTCTTACTGCTGGGTATGTCAGAAAAAAGAGGACAAGGAAATATTTCTTCAAATGTTGCTTCAATAGGAAAATCATCCACTGCCAATCACACAGAGCCTCACCCTGTTTTAATTCAGCCATAGTTGACTGCAGTTGGTCTAGAGGACAACATAAAAGCCTGCTGAAAAGTGCTACACAGCAGAATTCTCAGTTATCTTTTTTGTGCGCCTGTCTTTCGGCATCTTTGACACTAGGAGCACCATAGTTAAAGCAATGCATGATTTAGCATGCTGAAGGCAAATCAGCAGCTTCTAAATCCTGTCCCCCGTGTAGAATGAACCTATTGGATTAAAGTGATAAAAGGAGAACTAATACATCTTTGGAGCAGTGTGAAAGCTGCAACATATGATGAAACACAATGTGACAGGGGTTGCCAACTCTTTCAACTTCCACATTTATCAAGGATATTTCAATAAAGGAGTGTGAATGCTGTTCTATCTACTTGAGTTTCCAGGCAGTTTGTTCAGTTATCTTTTGATGTATATTAGTCTTGAGAAGTCCTTATAAATCTTCCATGTTGCCTATATGAGAATATAAACTTACCTTGACAGTTTAAAATCACACACTTGGGCATTCAAATGGTAAATAGGTTCTCATTAGTTGCAAGTTTGTTGTTGAAGCCCGACCTTGTTTGGTAACAGCAGACCTGTAGTAATGGACCAATCCAGAGTCTGTACGTTCAGAAGTGGTACAAGAACATCACGCAAAAGACTATAAAACTGTACTGACGTGAGGACAAAGAGGATTGTGTGTCTTGAAGGAAGACAAAGAGCAGAAGAGCAGTGAGGTGTTTTCTTCAAGAGGTAATGAAGCAGTTTGATGATGAGAGAAAAGGCTGGTAATCGGGGCAGGAGGTGGAGGCGTGGGTGTTATCATCGGCTGTCCTCTAGTGTCTGCTGCTAATTGCCTTGACGAATGTCGTGCTATGGCAACCAGCCAAAGGATAAACGGTAAACACAGTGCGCGACTCTGGAGCAATTGCGCGTATATTGCTGTGTGCATATATGTGTAAGGGAAATATCACTTGTGAGGAGAAAGAGCATAGGGGCTATGTCTGCACCGCTGCATCTGCTCTGCTCAGGTAAATAGCCACAAAATTATCTCCTTTGTCATTTATTTGTCCCATTTTTCTCTCCTTTAAGATCATTATAGCATAATTTGCTGTTATGATCTTCATTAGTATTTGTACAAAGTGAGGGTATTCCTCCTGATTTACATTATAAATGGTGACCTCACATTCAAACATCTTACTCATTCAGCAAGTTAGAGTTCCA